GTTTGTCACCCTTGTCCTATAGCTTCATATGGCTGGTTTTCAGCCTGGTGTCTAATAAATACATTTACAGACATCAGCCATATCCCATTTCAGCTTTTTGCTTAGCCAGACAAAAATCAGCAAAGCATTTCACTCTCCCCCCTGAGTGGTGGCTCTCCAGTCTGCCAGCCATTGCAGTCGCACCTCTCTGCAGTTATTCCAGTCTTAGCATATTTTCTTGACTCCAAGTGACAAAGACTGTGAGCAGAATTTCAGAAAAGGCCACACTCCTGGGCCTGTGGATGGCATGAGTATTTCTTTTTTTATTATAGAAAAATATAATACTATATTTTATGTATGTGTATAAAATATCTGGACACATATATTTCATGTAATAAAAAACCCCAGTAATCCTTTTTTGTAATGATTTTGTTTCCTAGATTAATGGAAACTATGAATTTCATGCTTCTTCTCTTTATGCCTAGATCTTTAAAAAAAATTGATCCCCAGACTGATTTTTGAGGATTCCTGCTAGTAAACTTCCTGCAGTTTGATGCCGCTTTTTTCAATACCACCTGTTGCCATCTATCCATTAGACAATCTCTTATCCACTTTACAACTCTTCTCCTAATCCCCTGCTTCCTATGTCATGCTGTATCATATGCAGCACAGATACAGATAAGATGTATCACAAATCCTTTGTCTAGAAAATCAGTTATCTTATTAAAGAGAGATAACAAATTCACTTGGCACAATCTATCTTTAGTAAATCCTTTTTGTATGTTATCCCTTTTTCCATTTACCTCCCTGTCTTCAATCATTTTTTCCTTCAAAATTTCTTCTAAAGCAACTGAGGTCAAACTAATGGGTTTGTAGCTGCACAGGTCTCCCTTTTAGAAATGGGTAATACATTTGCTATTCTCCAGTCAGCCAGTATCATGTCTGAGCTGCTTCCTACCAGGTTTGGGATTTCATATTCCTTTCTTGTCAGAATTGTGGAATGGAGTTTATTTAATATCTCTCCTTGGCTTGAGCGCACTGTGCTTTTAGCTTTGATTCCAGTTTGGTAATTTCTACCATCATGACTTCCTTCCTATTACTTATCCTGTTTCCTCTCTGGTCCATATTACTGAAAACATAGGCAAAGGAGTCAGTTTTTAATTGTAGACTCCCCCTTGTATTCATGCCCCATGTTTTATTTGGTCTCATTAAGATTGTTTGGCTGTTGTTTCAATATCACTTCCAAATTGTAGTTCAGTTTGACTATTGACAATTTTCACTTTATCTTATATTTTGACCTCTAAAACACATCCGTCTCTGTTGTCACGTCTTTTTTGCTTCATCTTGTGCTCTGCATATCTCTAATAATCTTCTTGAAGGAATTCTTCCTTTGTGCGGAATAGTTTGACCACTTTCTCACATATTCTTTCCCTTCCATCAGCTACACATTCCATATATTTTTAGCAGCTTTGATTTAAAGTAATTCCAAGGCTCTTACATATTCAAAGTCTTGAATAGATCAGTCTATTTAATTTCACTAACAAGACCTTTTAGATTATCGAAATTTGCCCTTTGAGCTCTAAAGCCTTATTTTTACTGATTGTTCCACTTCATTTAAACGAGCTTCACTCATGATTAGTTTTTGGGCCAGTTTTCTCATAGTATCTGTATTGCTTATTAGAATAATGACAGTAATAGTTTCATCTCTTACTCACTGTTGACTGCTTGGTAAACATATGCATTAATTTAGCCTAAATGTATTCTGTTTGATGCATGCCTTCCTTTCTTATTTCTTTCTAATCTATCAGATTATTAGAAGGCAGCTACACAAGGTTACTTATGCTTTCTTCATGTCTTTTCTGGGTAGCTTGTACACTTCATTACATGGTCCCAATATATAATTTTACCTTCTCTTTCCTGATCATCCACTGGTATTTCCTCAACCATAGCTCAGTTTTTATTGACCAGATTTTCGTCTTGTTGTGTACAGTAAGTAGGCATAAAGATGACATGAACCTATGCCAAGATTTCCTTGTATTTCTTTAGGTTCTTTTCTTAATAATGCGGATCTCAGTCCCAATTGTTTCCATGAATATTCAGCCAGATACTATTCCTATGCACCTTCACTTTTTAGGCATTTTTCCCCCACCTAAATTGAAATGATTTAGTGTAATCATCTTTGATGTATTCCAGCAGGAATTTCATAGCGTCATTTTCCCACTGTGAAGAAAATTAAATTAAAAAAAAAAAAAAAAAAGATTCTTCTCTATTCCTAGCAGGATCCTTTTTCCTTTTCCACCCACATCCCACATCCTCCTTCTCGGGAAATGACCTCGCATCCTGTTCTGTGGAATTGATCTAGTGACAACTTAGTCGTTCCTCTTTAACACAGGCTCCCAGTACATGTAGACACTGTTTTTTCTCTTAGTCCATTTTACCATGTCTATTCGCAGATGACCCTGACTTTGTTCTTCCTCACAAACTTCTCTACCATTCTCATTCTTCTGGGTCCTAGCCTCCTACATTTTTTGCTAGAATGAACTTTTCCACTTTCTTTCTACCTTCTGTTTTGGTTTTGTCTGTGGTACTTTTTCAGTCTCCCAGATGGTAAGCATTTTTTTTTAGCTTTCCTCTGTTTCCCAGACTGTTCCTTTTGTTCATTTTGTTGCAGGCTTTCCTAACTCACCAGTCTCCTCTGAGTTCTCTCTTGTATGACCTCTCGCTCAACAAGTGTCCACAAATCCCCAGCTGCCAATTCAATTTGCTTTTTCTTACTCCATTTCCTCAAATCCACATCTTCATTCAACATTGCCTCCAGGCACATGTCTAATAAGGTCTTCTCTTCATGAACTTTAACAGATGACACTTCAGGCATACATATCTTTACTGAGAATAAGATACATCTCACAGCTTCTGCATCCGGCTCACATTGTCCCTGCAATTTGTCTTGTACCCTCCATGGCTCTCTTGATTCCTTACATATTCATTTCCTCTTATCTGTACCTTTAAGGTGAAAATCCCTCTCATTGTTGGATATTTATTTCTTTTTCTGGGCTTCCCCTCTGCCAGTGACATGTGGGTTGGTAGGACTGAATAGTTATGCCATTAACAGCTTGGCATACTGCAGGACTGAGGAGTGTATTGCAGGGTGCAGAGTAATAGGAGCAAATTTGGTTCACAGTCCATCTTTTTCAAAGCCATCTATCAACCAGGAGGCTGCTTTCCACAGCTATCATATACAGGTTTGATATTGAGACAAGACTTCTGAGTGCCCTGCTGGAGTCAAATTCATCTGTTATTACCTGGTGAGTGGTCACTGGAAAAAGAACAAGTGAGAAAATAAGAAATAAAAGTTGGGTCTCAACATACAAGTAAGATATTGAGAAGTTGTTGAGAGTTCTGGAAATTGCACTGGGAAGGATGAGATTTCAGTTAGGTTAAATATTATCTGGGCAAATATTCAGATATAGCGTCTAGTTGAAGGATCATCTCCTTGTCTTAATAAAACAATCAAACTCCCAAACCTTCTCCAGTGAACCAAGAACATTTCTCAGAGGAAGCACTTTATGGGGCTCAGGCAGACACCAATAACTGTGTCACATAGCATTTATTAGAAAATCCAAATATATTCTCCTCTACTTTGTCCGATATCTGTGTGATCATTTATCTGCAGCAAATTTTACTGTAAATGTGACTATTTCCAAGAAGCACTTTTTCATGTCTGGATTAAGTACAGTACTTACCATATATTCTGTTCAGATAGAGGCATTATTCTGGAATCTGTGTTACAAGTAAATCCTGGGATCCTAGAAAGAGAACTCTTAGGGCTTCACCCCAGAAATGTGGATCAGAAACAGGAACAGACTCATGTTCAACTCAGCTTGATGTGCAGATGAGCTGGAGTCAGAATTCAGCCCTCTCTAAACAAGCAGTATTTACAGTAAAACATGCTTCTTACAAGACAAAGTTCAACTATTTTAACTGCTAATATAGGACATTTTGTCCCACCAAATCTCACCAAAAAATAATTCTCTAAGAATGTTGATTTCATCCATTCATGTTTTCAGCCAGTGGTGAAAGGACATGTGATCAGCCATTTTCCTTTCTTCCCATAATTTTTGGTCCAATTTCTGAGCAGAATGAATACATGTAGAGGTTCACAAAATTCTATGCCATAGTGTAAAAATAACTTATTTGAAGTACTCTAAATAAAACAACAACAACAAAAAAGTTTAGTTCAGGTTCCTCTTGGATTGGATGCAGGTTCAAGAGGGTTGAACATACTCTCATATTTCTCTAATCAGCTTAAGTACTGCATTTAAATCAAATCAGAAATGTGCAACAGGTAATGTTTGTGGCATTTATGGTAATAAAGGAGAAATTCTGAAGTGGTTGAATGCAAATGTTTTGTCTCTCTTTTGTCTTGATAGATTTTAGATAAAGTTGAAAATACTGACTGTAGCACACACCATCATCCTGTTCGCGATCCTCCTGCACAGAAGTGCTTTGAATGCTGCCTTCCCTTAGTTATTTTAAAGACACCTGCACACTCACAAATAATAAATCTGTCAAGGCACACTTGGAAATACCCCATCTCCATTTGTACAAGTTACTCTGCTCAAAATACTTCCGTGTTCAAAATCATTTAGCAGAGTTTACCAGATTTATAATCATTTGAGGCTTGCAGTATAAAACCCTACTGCATGACAGACTGAGTTATTAAGTGTTTATAGAAATCTGATCAAATGGACCATCAGAAGCTGGGGGAGCAGGGGGGGCAGGGGGGGGAGAAATCTGTTTTAAACTCGGCCATAATGACAGCTTTCCTCATCTTACAACTGTGACATGAAGAGGGAGCTGTAGCTCTTCTGAGACACAGCTCTGCCTGAACCAGCGTATCCAGCCAAGCGCCCCGATCTCCTCTCTCCTTCCTCGCTCTCCTCCGCTCCCCTCTCTCCTTCACTCACTCACTCTTCCTTTTTTTTTCTTTTTTTTCTTTTTTTTTTTTTTATCCCTGTGCCCCTGTGCCAGTTAATTTAAATGTATCTATTCAAGTGGAGATAATCCATGCAAATCAGAGGCACTGGCTCCCAGTGCTTGATTCACAAAGAGAACTCAGCTTCAGGAGGTCACTCGTTCACAGCTGCTCCTCCCATTATATTTTTCCCTTATTGCAGAACTGCTGCATGTATACAGTGACTGAAAGGACTCAATTTACTGCAACTGCTGCCTGGTTTTACTTACAACTTTCTTTAAAGGGGGACTTACCTTCTATCAGTCTTACCAAGGTAGGAAGTCTGATTCTTCTAAAGACATGTAATGCCTCCAGTGTTTGCTCATTATCAGATCCCACTATAATGATGCATATTGTTGTCAGAATTAGGTCCTAATAGAATTGTGCCAGGTGCCTGATGCTTTTGTTGCTTGTGTGTATAGGTGCAACTGTTTAAACGGCTGTTTTACTGTTTATTTAGCCAGCTCTGTAGCTGCCACACTGCTGGCCCGCAGGTTACCCTGTGAGGATGGCAACTGAAAAAAGAAATATGTTTTATAGCAGTGTGTAATAAAAGCCCTTCACAATGATGTAAGTGGAGTCTGACCTTTCTTTCTTATCCTGTAATTAGAATTTTTATTAACTGTTTCAAGTGCAGAGTTTTTTGAGTAAATTAATGTTACTTAGGGAGAACAAGGAGGTATTTTTGATCTATGAGTTTTAAAAGTAAAAGTTTAGAATCCTTTTTAGACAGGGAAAAATAAAAATATATTCTTCCCAGCAACTTCCTTCACACAAAACAATTTTGATTTGTAGAAAAGAGAGATTTGCTACAGGCATCCTGCCACCACCCCCACCCCCCCGAAGAAAGAAAAGAAAAAAAGAAGGGAAAAAAGAAGCATTTCTAAAAAAGACTTCTTTCATTCTCTGAAAGAGGAGGGGAATGGGTTTTAGAGAGGAGAGCTGAACTTAAGGAAAGACATTAAGGATCTTTTGTCTGACTGAATCAGTGGCCAGGATAAAGTTGGGAAGTAAAGGTGATCCCTGTGGAGTTTAGCAATATACAGAGATGAGATTAGATGACTCACCACTGGAGATATGAAAAAGAGAGAAAAAAGCCTTTCCAAGGAAGGTTTTTTTGTAAGTGGATTAAAATATTGTTGCAGCACACAGTTATTTCCTGCTTCCTTTCCACCTTTTACCGAATGACCAATGTCTTACAGGGACAAAAGTGTTCCTTAGTGAGTCATCATCAGCATTTCATACAGTTACTTCCAAATTATGTACTCAATTCTTCTTGTAGGTTCACCGGATTTACCTGACACAACTCGGTTTAATTACTTGATACACTGAAATAAATGAGAAGAAGTCTTACTTTTATATTATTGAGGCCTCAATGTATTATCAGTAAACTCTCAATGGAGTGAACCTTTGTGTTGTATTTCAGGCTAGTGTAGACTACACAGTTTTCTATACAAGACTGTTAGTGACCTTCTAAAACCAGTGCCTTTTTTTCTATTGGTGTGGTTTCTTTCTCTGCCTCTGCAAACTTGCCATTGCTATAG